AATCTTGGAACATGCATGAATTGACTCACTAAACTAATTGCATATTCTAAATCTGGCATAGTGTGTGCTAAGTAAATAAACTTTCCCAATAACCTTTGATATCGATCCTTGTCAACTTTTAAATTTTCCTCCTCATAACTCTTCTTATGATTTTGTTCAATAGAAACACTAATAAGTTTGCATCAAGCTTTTCTGTTTCCTACAAAAGACCAATCACATATTTTCTCTGAGAGATAAGAATTCCTCTATTTGAATAGGCCACCTCAAATCTCGTGAAGTACATGAGTTCTTCAAGATCCTTCTTTTCAAATTTTGTTGATATATAACTTCTTTTAAGTAGTCGTCTCTCACACAAATTATCTATTAACAATAATTTTGTCAACATAAATAAGAAGTATAGTCATTTTCATCATTGTGTATGTTTTAACAAACAGAGTGTGATATCCTTGACTTTGTTTATGGTCTCCAAGCAAGCAACTAGAGCAAAAACCTCATCATATTCTATCTCATCCTTTACCTTGACTCTATTGGCATCTCCCATATCTTATTTTCTTCATTCTACTTTAATTACATCTTGAATATTGTTTCCATGATATCTTTTTTATTATTGTGTTTCCTTATAAGTTAGTAATGTTCCTTGAAGTTGCTTTATGGTCATAGTCTCTGAATATTTTGTTTCTTCAACTTTCACAATAATACACTCAAATATAAGGTGTAATGAGCAGAATATCTTATCCATAATTCTCACACCTTCTAACTTTTTACCATTTCTTTTTAATTGATTTGAAATAGTGACAACTCTTGAATTCACAAATAGACTTTGACTCTTTCATATGTAACAATTCAAGCTCACCTCTTAGAGTTTGGAGACGAACCCTCTTTACTTTGTCTTCAACTTTGTAATATGTTTGAATTTTTTCCCATGTCTCCTTAGAAGATGTTGTATTTGAGATTTTCTAAAACTCATTTTCATCTAATGTCTAGTAGATGAGAGAAATAGTTTTCTTGTCTCTCTTTCTCAAATCCTTCAAAACATATTTTTGTGTTTGAGTTAAGGAATCCTCATCTTTTGATTCTTTATAAACTTTTTTCCACAACCTCCTAAATATCATGTTCTTCAATAAAAAATTTCATTTGATACATCAATTATCATAAGTACTTCCTTTAAGACGTGGAACTTGGAAGGATGTTGCTTCATTGTTCGCCATAATCATAAAAACTAAGTTCTTATGCCACTTTCTCTACTTTGAAAAAGACCTTTAGAAATAGTTGGAAATGATACATAATTATATATGTTCAGGCGTTTTTATGTAGTGTGTGGTTGTATATGTGTTACTTTCAATTACGGTATAGTAACCATAGTAGTAAACTGGAAAGCATGCGCCCTATTTTAATATTGTTTATGAATAAATCTCTTTCGTATCATACCAGAATAAAAAATACACCATTTGTGAATTGATATCAAAACTCGTATTACATCAAAGTATATGTAAGTAGGAATATCAAAGAAGGGAAAAAGATATATGAAAAGACAAGTAGATATAATCATTCCTTCAACAGCTCGAGGAATTAAAGAACCAATAATGAAAAAACTTGACATGTGTGAAATCTTTTGACTTTTAGACTTTTAAGGATCAGGGAAGAGGAAGAATCAGAAGAAAGAATATAAAACCAGAACTACTCTTTGAACCAAAACATAAAAAGAACTTCATCCAAAGAAATCAGAGAAGAAAAAGAACCAAAATAAGTACTTCTGCTTAAGCTTCCAACAATATTGAGAGAACTTCCAACAATGTTGAAGATGTTCTGCCTCCTCAAAATCAATAACTGTTGAGACCCAGAAGAGCTCTCAGGCAGAGGAGAGTGAGAAGAAGAAGAAGAAGAAGGGTGAGAAGGAAGATGATTTTTTTTATTCTGGTGATGATGAATCAAATTATATGTAGTAAAACTTTCTCTGGGCCAGAGAATTTAGATATGATTATTAGGGCCTTCTGTAATGAAGCTTTATGTAATGAAATTTTAATCATTCTGCTTAAGGTTAACAACTTAAACTATCAACTTAAACTACCAGTTATAAAATCTATCAACTAATATACACACATCTTCAAAAAGCTGAAATAACAAACAGATACTTGCAATTGAAAATTTAATAGTTTGCGATAAACTTACTCGTAAGAAATCGTCTGATAGTTGCATTCCTGTCAAGTTCACTGCATATGTAGTTTCAACATCAACAATGTAATTCAAACCCTACTTCAACTATTAGATTTTATAACAAAGTAAACACTAAACATAAAGGAGATAACATAACATAACATCTTCAAATTTCTAGAAAATCTCTCTGATTTAAGTTTGTTCTTCAAATTCTTGTTCTTCTTCTTTGAATCTTCATATATAACCTTCAAATAACCCATAGCTTCCACAACTTCCAACTTTGACTTCATTTCCATCTTTTATCTCTCATGTCTTCATCCCATATGAACAAATTACATGTCTCATCATTCCTCTAAAATGGACATCTCCAAAAACGCCTTCATTTATTTTGTCCCTTCTTGCTTTGGTACGAAATCATACGACCATCACAACCACATAAATTTGCAGATCGAGATTTTACAGAAGAAGAAGACATAGAAACACCTTTGAATGATTTTGTCTTCAAATGTGACATTGAAATGAAACTAAACAACAATAATGTCGAATATATTTTACGTACCATAAAGAAGAATATTGTGTCGGTGTTGTTGTCTTCCTTCCCGATGATGACGGCGTTGGTGTTAGAGTTTTTCGTCTTGTTTCTTTTTTCAGTGAAAAATGGATACTGAGATTTTAATATATATAAATTTATCACAACGGTCATTACTGTAAACTGTAATGATATATTTTTTGCATAGTTGAAATTTCATAAAAAAGCGACAATGTGTAACAATGATTTTACAAAACAACTGTAGTGATATCCATATTATTTTAAATTTAAATATAAATAAAAATGAAAAAGCGCGCATTAACGTAAAAGGAATAAACTATTTGAGGGCGATGAGGTTCGAACTCATGAAACCGTGATTGTATCACTAAGGTGTTCTCATCAACCGTAATTATACCCTTAAAAAAATTTGATTAAAAATATAAATAAATATTAGAGGATGGGTTTAGAAGTGTTACTACATTGTTTGAAAGAGCCGTCATGATTTTGGCGTTGTTGTATGCGTTTTTTGTAGTAGATTTTATTAAGAAAGGAAATTATGACTATATATTGAGATTTTGTGAGGAATTAAGTTGAGAGACTATTTGAGATAATGATAATTTCTATTATGAGAATGTTTTACAAGCTTGCTTACTTGCTTATACTTAATTGGTTTACAAATGATAAGTTTTTCCCTATTTATAGGATATAAGAGAAATTTCTACATACACTAATAAAGTATGAGAGAGAGAGTTCCACACACTTATCTCTATTATTTACATTTATTATTATGACTTCACTAATTCACTTCTACATGGCTCTAGAATTTTCTTTGAACTATTCCATTAAAACTAATAAATAGACATAACAATTTATTAGTCGGCAAATCAAATCATGTTTATAGTTTGATAATGGTCTATAAATCCAGAATCAATGAAAGATTCCACTACCCACCTTCTATGAATGATTTCAAGAGACTCTCACAATCCTATGCTCAAAAGCCAAACAAACAAAAGAATCCCAAAACATATTAACATTCCATCCTACTAATATAATTTGATCCCCTTATATTAAACACTGGTTGCAAGAAAAGCATATAGGTATAGTTTTATTTTGGTATGTTTAGCAGGAGGATTGGGTTTTTTATGACAATAACTTACCATTATTGGGAAGATAGAAATGGGTTGGTTCTTGTGCTGAAGCTGATTTATTTATTTAGGGTATTTTTAGGAGTTAGTTTTTAGAAGATTTTGGAGAGAAAAATTGTAAAGAGTTATGTCTATATTTTAAAATCTGTTTAATATTTTTAATATGTTTTAAAATAATATAAATTTATATGTTAATGTCATATTCAAATTTTAGTTTTTTCAGTTAGGCCATATATATTTAAATAAAGTTTGTTGGATCCAATTAATTTTCTTGCATAGTCTTTTCGTGTGATCTATTACTCTTTTTTATAGACATGATATATAAAAACAAATTATAAAAATATAATAAATAAATATTATTATTATTATTATTATTATTATTATTATTATTATTATTATTATTATTATTATTATTATTATTATTATTATTATTATTATTATTATTAATTAATTAATTATATTCAATTGGAGAGATGTGAATTTGTATCCATAACATTTTACCTATTCAAATTTAAAAAAATTAATCATTAGTCTACTAAAAAGACACTCAAACTAATTTCGTTATTGCATATTCTCTTGTCTTTTCCTTGTTATTCCATTTATTTATATTGTAACAAGTTTAGTTTCAACTATCAAATGTTATAATGTCACATTGTCCTAATATTTGGGCCAAAACTCAACTAATCAAATTAATATCTTGTTTTTAATATGTCATACAGATCAGTTAAATTAAATACTTTAATCAACAACTCATAATTACTAAGCAATATCACAAGAGAATGAAGAGAATAAGTGTGAAAAAAGAAATGGATATAGATAAATATATGTAATGTTATTGATTTTACTGACATTATATATTGATAACATATTTTTATATTCTTCATAAAACAAAGTTACAAGTGGGTTTGCAAGTAGCAATTCTTTTTCAAATTGAGTTAAATTTTGTGATATCATTTCTAAATTCCACATGAAGACAACACTTTTAACTATGTTTTAAATATCTGATAAGATATCAAAATATTGTGTGTACAACAATTATGCAACCAACATGTTCCACTATTTGCCTCTCTTTTCACCTTTATATGTCTTGTATATATATATGTCTACAACCCTACACTCATTCTCATGCTTATTCTTCTTCACCTTTTTCTCTATCATCAATTATCAAAAGCATGAACAAGATTGATAAATCTCAACTTATAGTTCTCTCTTTCCTAGCTTTTCTACTTGTGATCACACCCTTTCTACCTTCCTCTCTAAGGCCTAGTTATCTTTACTTAATCTTCAACATCCTTATCATTGCACTTGCTGCTCAAGCCGGATTCCTCTCAGCGTTCTCCGACCATTCAGAAGACAAAAAACATCATGTTTCCGTGTCTTCTAAGCAGAAACATACAATGCAAGAACCAAAAGAGAAGGAAGCTACAACTACAAACATAAACAGTGCAAACTCTATCTCAGAAGAACAAAAAGTTAAGAAGCCTAAGGTTGTTCAAAAATCTTCGTCTAAGAAGAAGGTTGTTTGTGTTGGTGAAAGTAAAGTTGATAAGGTGAAAAAATGTCCATCTAAGCCAAGTCTTTTTTATATAGAAGATGGAGAAGAGGATTCAGAAGTGAAAAATAATGAAGAGGTTGAAGTAGAAGATGAGATTTGTGGTGTTAATGGACAAGAACTTTTTGCAAAAGCTGAGGCTTTTATTGGAAATTTCTATAAGCAATTGAAGATGCAGAGAGAAGAGTCTTGTGTTTCTTAGAAAGCTTATTTAGGACTTAATTAGAATGAATAATTTTGTAGTTGTGATGAGGATCATAGTAAATATTTTTGATCTGGAATTAGAGATAATGAAATATTACTTCTGTTTCCAATATTTAATTTTCATTATCAGATTATGAAGTTCATGTTAATTAAAAGAATATGAAAAAATTGGACCTACTTTCTTTCTAACATGTTTAAATTTGATTTATTTCAACTTAATTGCCGGATTAAAAAAAAGAAAAAAAATATGCATGGACCCGTATAAAATAATTTTACATCATCATCTAATAAATCATATATATCGCACCAAATTATATTGATATTTTAAAATCATTTGAATAATTTAATAGATTAATGATTTTTTATTAGACGATCCAAGAGTGCATGTATCACAATATTTGTCTTGAGTTTGTACATATTTTTGTTCCATATCTAATAATAAACTTGTTTTAAATATGATTATGAAAGATATTGATGCCACTGATTGTAACTTAGAGCAAACTATTAAATACAAAAAATATTCGTTGTTGTTTTCTTGTTTTTCTTAACTCATGCATGACTGATGAAAGGATCAACTTGTGTTTGTTATAATAAAAACCATGTTGGATGTTTTTTTAATCATAATCGAATGATTTTTAGTCAAAAATATGTATAAAATACTTGAAAGTTTTGGGATTGCATTTTCAGCTATCTACAATGTTAGATAGTCGATAGTGATTGAATTGAGATCACAATTTTTATATTTTAGTTTTTGAGTAAATATTTATCCTCTCATGTCATTTGGGTTATTTTTGAAAAATCGTCAGTAGAAATTGAAGATTTTAGTCTCTCATTAGATTTAATCATTAAAATATTTGACATAACATTGACCTGCTGTATTTTTTATTATTTTATATTTAAATTTAACAAATGTGGAATTTAAAATATTATTAGTTAGAGTTTAATTTTGATTAATCATTTTCATTTCCGTCTTCAAAACTACGTCCCTAGAAATTCACCTTTATCTTGCATTTTCATCCCCCTTCTTCATTCAATACCACAAAACTCAAATTACACCATTTATATTGCATTTTCTTCCCCCTTCTTCATCCAACCCTCTCCCATCGGATCCACGCTGAGGCACAGTGTAACTTTAATCATATACCAAAATTTATATATATATATATATATATATATATATATATATATATATATATATATATATATATATATATATATCAGGTCAAATGTAATAGTCATCGGTCAACTACTTAGAGAATATAACAATTTGTCCAGAATGCTTGCAGTAGTACTAAATTCAAGATACATCTAACAGTTTGTTTCATCACACATTTAACAAATATCAGGTTGTTATAGCCGCTCCATTATATAAAGAGAGCACACGTCAATTTTAAGCACACAATTTCAAATTCACATTTCATCCACTCTTTTCCTTCCCAGTAGCAACTGTAAGCGTAAAACATGTTTTTTCAGGTTCTAAAATTGGCTTTAGTCTTGCCAATAACAACTGTATGTGTGAAATGTATTTTTTTTCTATTATGAATTTTATGAAGAGTCAAACTATGTAACAAAATTAGTGAATAGTAGTTAAATGACCGTCTTGTGATTTTTATAAAAAAAGATGTTCTTGGAACAATTAACAATAATGTTATTTTAATTCATTTTCAAAAAATAGATGGTAGACGTTTGTCATTGTAGATGTATTGTATTAAACAATATTATTTATTATTTTCAATATAATTTACTTCACAATTTATTTTATGTTTAGTCAATCCAATATATAATGTTTGCATCTGCCTCTGTCTTTTCAGCATCAATATTTGCTCATTGTCTTTGTCCGTTTAAGAAAGAAAAATAATAGTTAGTTCCAACTCAAGCGTTGAACATTCAAATGGAATAATCACTCTTAAGTATGAACACGAGTTTTCATTGAAGTTGTTAGTCTCAAAATCTAGTGCAAGCAAATCTAGAAAGAAAATATTGAAAGTGTAAGATTTTTTGGGGTAAGTAAATTAATGTACTTCATTATTTTTCTCTCCATTTTGTTTAGGAAATCAATTTCTAATGTTAAATTTTTTGTGAAATTTGTTTGTTATTTTTTTTTTCTTTCAGAAAGAAGAATATCGTGAGTTATTTCACTTGGATGATGAATTGTTTGGTGTATATAATAAAAGAGATATCATTTATACAAAAAATGACGAGGGATGCAATAAGTGTGTGCCTTGATGATAGATTACTTGAGGTAATTTCGCAAAAATTTCGAACGAAAATTTTGGAAAAGAATTGTGTTCAAAAGAGATTGAGAAAATAAAGAAGAAGGTTGAGAGCCTAACCGAGAAAATGAAGTTTCTCATCCTAGTTGTTATTTGTTCTCGTGGTTATTTTATTCTATTTTGGTATGTATGTATGTTATGAATGAGAAGGGTGAGGTAACTAATGAAATTACTACTGAGGTAATTGAAGAAATTACGAAAAACAATAAATCAGTTGAAGCACATGGGTCTAGAGGATAAATGTTGTGTGACGATATCGACAATGCACATGGAGAAGAAGGTAGTTCCTTGGTTTCAGATGTTGTCGCTAAATTATCTATTTCATTCATGGTTAGTGATCTTACCGGATCAGACTTGAACCGTCACGGCTGACTCGAACTGAATTTGAGTGAGATGGAGGGGGTACCTGCAAAATACTCCGATGCTAAAATGAGAGACGGAATGAGCATGCAAAAAATGTATACGTGTAATAGATGAATACCTGACCCTCTTGGGAACAGAGGGTATTTATAGCCCCCAGCGTTGGGCCAATGTCCCCTCATTGGGCCGATCAGAATTTGCTCAATAAGGGAACTGTCAGGTCCTACGTGTGTAGTGGGGCCCCACACGTGGTCCCCTTCCTGGTAGTGCTCTGCGAAGAATAAGGGGGAACGAGGACGTGGTCTTTCTGGAGCTTAGAGGATTCCATAACGGTTAGGATGGACAGAATCTGCCCTACGGGGAGGGCGCTCGAGCTGGACTCGAGCTGGAGTTTCCTTGGTCGGGGACACTGCTTGTCGCGGGCAATGGCGGGCATAGCAGCTGCAATCTGTGGTCGGGCATATTCGATGATGGACCGTTTGTGAGCATTCCTCGAGGAGCTATTTGGATTTGGGCCTTTATCTGCGCTTTGGGTCAAGGCGGGCCCAGTCCATAACAGTTAGCTTTCACTCATTCCCTTGAATTGGAATTTGGCCCTTCACCATATGAATCTGCACGAGCTTCTCTGTTCAAACTTCAACATACCACCTTTGTTAGTGAGTATTATCTGGAATTCACCGTTCTTACTAATCGTTCTCAAGGTGTGAGTATTATCAAACTTTTTTTTTCACTTGGGAAGAGAGTGATTCTAAAAAGGAACCAGTGGTTGAGTCCACAGAAATCGAGCTTGATACAGAGCGTAAACATCATTTGTCTTTCAATGCATTGAAAGGGTCAAGAGGTTTGGGAACACTACATTTTCAAGGGTCCATACAAGGAAAAAGTGGAAATGAGATATTATTATGAAAGATATTGATGCCACTAATTGTAACTTAGATCAAGCTATTAAAATACAAAAAATATTCGTTGTTGTTGTTTTCTTGTTTTTCTTAAGTCATGCATGACTCATGAATTGATCAATTTGTGTTTATTATAAGATATTAAAGATAGTATAATGTGAGTGTAAATTAATTTTATATCGTAATTTAATAGAATTACAATATTCAATAATATTATATTAATATTTTAAAATTAAAAATGTAATTTAATAAAATAAACGTCTCTAATTCATAATTACTATAAAAATACTTTAGAGACGCTCTTTTTTTTCTCTTATTATAATAAAAAGCATGTTGGATATTTTTTAATCACAATCGAATGATTTTTAGTCAAGTATAAAATATTAGAAAGTGTTGGGATTTCATTTTCAGCTATCCGCAATGTTAGATACTCTCAATTGTGATTGAATTGATATCACAAATTTTATATTTTAATTTTTAAGTAAATATTTATTGTCTCGTGTCATTTGGGTTATTTTTTGAAAATAGTCTGTAAAAATTTGAAATTTTTTCATTGGCTTTTGAAGATTATTGTCTTCCATTAAATTTAGTCATCAAAATATTTAAGAAAAATATTTTTATGGATTCTTTAACTATTCTTTTGGGTTTATATTAGTCTTTTAATTATTTTTTGTGTCATATTTATTTCTTAACTTTTATAATTTTTTATTTTAATTTTTTTTTAAATAATGACAAATTTAACGACTAATTTCTAAATATTTTTTATTGTTAATTAGATAAAAAAACTAAAATAAAATATTTTAAAAGTTAAGAGACTAATAAAAAATAAAAAATAATTAAAGAGTCAATCTGAATCCAAAAATATAATTAAGAGACAAAAAAAAATATTTTGTCAAATATTTAACATGACATTGACGTGTGGTATTTTTTTTTATTTTATATTTAAATTTAAAAAATATGGCATTTAAAATTTATTTGTTGAAATTTAATTTTGATGAATATTTTTTTAAGTTACATTACCCTCCTTCAAACCCTAAATTCCCATAAATTCACCTTTATCTTGCATTTTCTTTCCCTTTCTCCCTTAAATACCACAAAACTCTAAATTACACTATTGTTGGACCTTCAAACTCCAATCCTCTTTAGGGATCTGCATTGAGGCATAACGTGGCTTTAACCATACCAAATTTTAATATTTATGTATAAAGGTTAAATATTTTTTTTTATAATATTTGTTATTTTTATTTTTAATTCCTATAAAAAATTTTGTTACAAAATAATTTCTAAAAGATTTGCCGTCAACATTTTTTATTTCTAGTGTTAGTTGTGAGTATCGGAAACTGACATGTCAATACATGTGACAAAAATTTTAAAAATTAAAATTAAGAAAATATTACATGTGCACTTTTAATGAATTAAATTATGTGTTTCATTATCTCAAACTATGAGGACAAGGAAACCAAGGA